TTTATGGGAATACATGATTAAAAATGTTTTCTTTTTTTAACAGAGCAATGGACAATTATATTGTTTTGCTCTGTAGATGTTCAGTAAATATTGATTAATTGTCATGGGGTTTACATTGAGGTTATGAAGAAATTTTTCTATTGTTTCTATAGTTTCCTTGACTTTACATAGAATTTGAAGTTCAAGATGTTTTAAAGTTCTCCTAGTTAATAACCTAAATTGTACTGCATGTGTCTTTGGCTGATTATTTAGTATGTAAGCAAGACAGCATATTATATTGTAGCAGGAGCAGACGTGGGAAAGGATCTCTCAGACACCAAATACAGGAGGAAGGAATTTATTTCAGCTGGGAGCAAGGTGGCATAGGTGCCTAACAGCCAAGCTCATTTAACAGAAGGAGGTTCAGCCTTTATATAGGCTTATACTTTATATGTTACACGTGGAAGAATCTTAGGTTCATAGTTTTAGGACTTACATGTGAAAAGGTTTCTGGTTTGATCTTGTTTTAAGTAAAATAGTGCCTTCTGGAGAGCTTCCCCAAGACCTAGCCTGTTGTTTTCAGGAAGGAGACTCAGGAGGTGCCAGCTGGCTTGTTCTCTCTTTTATTGAGATGCACAGTGGATGACAGAGGGGGAGAGAATCCCAGATGCCTGGGTCTCCCTCCTCAATATGTGCATATTTCTGATATTAATAGGTGTCAGTAAAAAAAAAGGCCTATTGGGAAATGCTTTGAATTATGATCACACAAAAAGATTTATTAACAGAATATAAATTAATAAATATGTTAGCAGTATTTACATTTGTTAAAAAATTTTTCATCCCTAAGTCACCAGTCATGAGGAATATCTAAATTTCTTTTTTTAAATTATGAATGAAAGATCAGTAATGTTTTACAGTGGTACTTGCTTACTTGAAATTTGTCACATTGATTTTATTAAATATTTTTAGTATACCTGATGATGTAGCCTACAGCAACAAAAAACAAGATTCAGTTGTTCGTGGAAAGAACTTTTTGGTATATTCTTGAATAGATTATTTGTAGTTTTTATCATTCTGTGAGGAATGAGGGAATAGATTATATTTCAAATCGTATTTTAGGTCTCAATAGCTTTGATAATCTATTCAGATGTCTATTTGATCTGTAATATCTATTTGATCCTCCAAAAGAGATTTGCCAGTCACCCTTTCCTAAGGGAAGACAGATATTTCCTCTTTCTTCTTTTAAATTTTGTCAGTGTTATACTTTACAAAGTGCAGAGTTTAAAACTAGATGGTAAACCTGATAGAAATAATTATATGATTTCATTTTTTATAGTGGTGAACCAAACAAAATTAATCAGTGACAATATACCTTTACATTAACTGGGTACACATTTTGATTACAGGAATGAAGGTATCTTCCAAGATAATTCTTTGCTGTGGCTGGCTAAGTTTTTGCTAAGCTTTTAACTTATAGGAGAGTATAGTACAAAGCCTTTATGGAAGCTGCATTTGGTATAGAACATCTTTTGACTTAGATCTGGCCCAGAACTAATGACTGAGTTCACATAGGCTGTGTATTGACCACCATGTAAAAGAAATATTGTTGAAGCCTCTTGTATGCTCGATATTATGCAAAAACATGCAAAGTATGGTCTTTGTAGTCAAAGAAGTTGGTCTGGCATTCCTGGATTTACTTTCTTTTCTCTTCTTGATTTTGATATTTGTATATTTGTACCATTTTTTGCTTCTTACTCTTTTGAATAAATGAATGGTCTATGGGTAAGGTGGGATCTCACTTTTAAACATTTTTTTTTTTCTGCTTGCTTTAAAAAATTATTTGTATTACATATACTTCTGAAATATTTTGAACCTGACTTCAATGAAAAAGCACACATATATTGTATGACCATTAAGTTTAAAAGATCAGTGTTTCTTTACCGATACTGAGTTGGGGTGAGAGAAGAGAAATAATGTATTCCTTAAATCTAATTTATATATTTATGTATTTTTTGGTTCATTTAATTTGTTTTTTGGGAGGATGAGGCAGGAGAATAACTTGAATCTGAGACGCGAACGTTGCAGTGAGCTGAGATTGCATCACTGCACTCCAGCCTGATCGACAGAAGTGAAACTCCTTCTCAAACAAACAAACAAACAAACAAACAAAAAAAAGATATAACAAAATAATACAAATAAAAGCAATACAATATAACAACTTTTTGCGTAGTTTTTACATTGTGTTAGATATTATAGGTAATCTAGAGATGATTCAAAATATAAAGGAGGTTGTACATAGGTTATATGCATACATTACATAACTTTATATGAGGGACTTGAGCATCCACAGTTATTGGTATTTGCAGAGAGGTCCTGGAAGTAATCTCTTGTAGATACTGAGGGATGACTATATATAGAAAGCTGTATTGTTAGCTTAGATTTTGTGTATAGTGCCATTAAAAGCTGGCTTGAACCATGGTGGTATTAGCCTACTTTCGAGGGCTATCCTGCCCTTGAATTTGGTAATTTTACCCTAGTGCCAGAAGATTTGAGGGTAATGAGTATCTCTTTTTCAGTAGTATAACATTTTTTTTTTTTTTTAACTTAGGCTAAAGTCTGTCATTAATTTGTACCTTTCCTTTACCTCTGAATAAACCATATAAGAGAGCAAACAAATGCCAAAAAATAGCCCAGTCTTCTTCCCAACAGAGTGACTTCAGCTCTTCTTAGTCTACTAAACCGAAGGCTGTGGCCTAATGGGGCATGTAGTGTTTGACTTTCTTGATAGGTCTTCAAGCAGAGTTCCTTCTATTCACCTTGAAGAAAGGAGCTATCTGTAACAATAGTTCATAAGCATTTTAGGGATATAAACTTTTTGAGAATATAATGAGACTCATGAACCTTCTTTTTGGAAAAATTTTCATGTGCATGTAAAATGTTAGGGGATTTAGACACTCTCTGAAATAGATCTAATTATATGTTCTTTGTGAGAGCCCTTTAAATTATTAAGGTCCGTCCATATCAATGTCAGAATCAGTAGTATATTCTGGGATGCTCCTTTTCTAATTTCTTTATGATTTTTGAAGAGTATGTAGTAGAAAAGATTGAATAAAATTGTAAACATTACAGTTTAATTTTATACCACTAGTGAAAATGGATGCTAACATCACTAACCTATTAACAAATAGGTTCAAGGTATTTGGTGAACTTTTCTGAGTAGCCAAGTTTAGATAATAGATGGGTATTAGGAAGCAAGCGTTCTAATCTCTGTGGTGCAATAGGTTAGATAATAGATGGGTATCAGAGAATAAATTGACCTATATTGCATTTTGCTGTTGGCAGTGGTAAAATTGGATAAGGTTGTACTTTCGGACTTTGGTTTAGCTATAACTTCTCATGCTTTTGTCATTTACTTTTTCTTTCTCCTTATTGCTGTTGTACAGTTAGTACAGAAGAAATAGAGAAGGGCAAGATAACAATGAAAAAGTTCTAATTTTGATCTGAAATAGCTAGAGATAACATAGTATGAGTAAGCTTAAAATTGGTATTCAATACTATTCAGTGTGACATGAAAAGGCATTTTACTTTGGTGAAGAGTTTTCCTCCTTTTTCACAGAGATAATGCCCCTTTTTCTTTATGGGTAACCTTGTCTCTTAACCAATGCTATAGAGAAACTGAAGGCTATTAGGCAGATATTCTCTTGGCTTTCGGCACTCTTGTTCCTTAACTGTCTGTCTCCACCATTCTTTATTGCTTTAATTCCATTCTTATAGGAAGAAGTGATTCCTTCTGGTTAAGGCTATTTCTTCCACCTGTGCTCAGTGTCAATTCCTTGTTCTGTCAGTTAATTCCTGTTTCTCCTGCCTTTATTTTTCAACCTTCCCCTCTCCAGTGATTTGACTTTGTACTTGACATGCCCAAGGTTCTTCTTTCATTGGCCCTATCACTGTACTCCTCCCCTTATCACCAAACCACCACATCTTTTTCTTCTCCTATTTCTTGTCTCTTTGAATGATATTACCATTGATCTAACATAGAAATCTGCCTTGCTAAGAAATTCAGGCTTTACATATAGGTCCCTGAGGCTTTTAAGTTAGAAGTAGAAAGGGGAATGATTAGATTTAATGCTCTTTTTCATCTTTTCTACCAGTTGATTGAGATCACTGTCTTAGTTGTAGTGATATTAGTGTAGTAAGTAAAATATTGTGGGATGGTGGAGTATATACAATATTATAAACTGTAGATGCATTCTATTAGTAAAAGAATATTAGAACTATGGAGACTCTTACTTTCTGACATAGGAATTTCTAATTTTTGGAAATAGAGATGGGACTAAATAATCTGAAGAGGTTTTATTTATTTATTTATTTATTTATTTACTTATTTATTTATATTTTAAGACAGGTAGGGTCTGGCTCTGTTGCCCAGGCTAGAGTGCATTTCTGCCTCCCTGGCTCAAGCCATCCTTCCACCTCAGCCTCCTGAGTAGCTGAAACCACATGCATGCACTACCATGCCTGGCTAATTTTTGTATTTTTTGTAGAGGCAGGTCTCTTTTTTTCCACAGGCTGGTCTTGAACTCCTGAGTTCAAGTGATCTGCTCACCTTGTCTTCTAAAAGTTTTGGTATTAAAGGCATGAGCCACTGTGCCAAGCCTGAAGAGATTATTTTTTTCAGCTTTACTACATGACCTAGTGCATGGCAGCTTACTAGGAATATTCAAAAATTTTTTAGAAATTTTCTTTAAAAATTTCAATTTTCTGAAAAAGAAATGGAACATTTCTGCCCAATATCTGTATTTATAAATGATATATGTGTACTGTTCTCATTAGTTCAGTCAATGGTTACAAACTTTTTTGATTATGGGCTGCCATCAATAAAATATTTTTGTGGAATATTTTTATGTATATATACCCCATATATATATATATATATATATACACAGACATATACACACACACATATATATATATACACATATATATAATATGCTGTATGCCATTTATATATATATAAATCATACACACATGTACTACTCTCATTAGCTGGTATGTTAGGGCAGGATGTACATTTAGAGAGAGGAGCATTGTTAATAATACATTTAAATCCTTGTACAGATAGCCTTCTTGATAATTTCAAATTTTATATGTTCTTTTCTGTCATATCTGATCATTATGTTTACCACATGATATATTTGACCAGGGTATCTTAACAGGTGTATCAGTTATTCATTGATGTGTAACAAACCACCCTAAGCTTAATAGATTTTTTAAAAGAGTACTGATTTATTATTTTTTGTGATACCATAGATAACACTTCAGGCTGGGCACAGCTAGGGAATTTGTCCGCTGGCCTCACCAGGAATCACTCATGTTCCTGGCTGGCAGTTGGTATTAGTTGTTGGATAGGATATCTCTGTTCTCCATATGGTATCTTATTCTGCAGTAGACTAAACTGCTTCATCATTACATGGTGGCCGTGTGGTTCAGAGAGGGAGAGAAGTCAAACTGCTGTGCTTCTTCAAACCCAGGCTCCAGAATTTGACAATGTCCACTACATTGTATTTGCCAAAACAAGTCACAAAGCCAATTTAGAGTCAAGAGGATGGAGAATTGGCTCTTACCTCTTGATGAAAGAAGCAGCAGCGTCACATTGCAAAGGCACATGGGCACAGGGAGGGATGATCCATTGGGGACCATTATTATAATGGTCTTAGCACATCAAGTTGAAGATAGGTATTAACCCTGCTATTTTCTTATCATTTACATGAGCTGCTATTACAAGTATTATTTACAAACCACAGGAATATTTTAGGAAAATTTTAAGGCCATTTGTCCATTTTGTACACGTTTAAAACTGGATAATCTAATTTTAGTTAATTGAGCACCTATAATCTACAACATAGCACAATAAACTGAAAGAAAATAACTAAATGAGAATATTATTGTCAACTCTTCTGCACTATCTTTCCTCAGTGTAGTATATCTTGAATTCTATATGTGATACATGACTGACATATGGAGAGTAAGGAAGGGTATCTGTGTTATTTTCAAATCAAATGTGAGTAACTTAGTTTCTTTGTTTTTTAAGTTGAAAATTATATATATATATAATATACATTAAAAGCATATATATATATATCTCAGTAGATTGTTTTTGGATAACCTTAAAACTTCAGAGCCATTGGTCTAACTGATGTGGAACCGTTAAGTGCCACAAGTGGTATTGTTATGTCCATTAGTGTCAGCCCTGACAGATGTGATTCAGCATGGCACTCTTCCCACTGCACTGGACTAAGCCTTAGAGCCCCTTTCAACACAAAAATCTAGGCCAGCCTTCAGGAATGGATAGTAAATGACACATAAGATAATTTTTTTTATTATTATTGTTATAAGAGATTAGTTTTACTTGTGGAAGAGGTACGATGTTCGTATATTTTAGAAGAGGCATTTTAGGAAAGATCTTAGCTATGTCTATGTGTGTGTTTGGGGGTTTGTATCCTGGAGCTAGGGAGATGCTGACTTAGTCTCTGCTTTACCTATTTATTTATTTTTGGATACTTACGGAGACAATTTCATCTATGCCTTAATAATTTTTCTTTTTTTTTTTTTAAAGTACCAATGGCAACTTTGGTTTCTCTGTTTAAAAAAAAAAAAAACAAAAAAAAACTTTAAGAATACTTTCACATATTTTTAACTTGTGTTTATGATAAAGAAAATAAGTGTTTATTTCTAATATATGAGGTTTGTTTTAGTCTTCTTGTCTATGCAACCCAGTTCACAGTTGGAGTTTCCTGACGTATGTGAATTTGCTGATCTGAGTTCTTTAGCTTTTCATACATGGTTGTCCTATCGTACTGCAGGAGCTTTTGCTTTTACTAAGAATAAGAAGTTTACTACTGGAAAAGCCTTGCTAAAATTCTAGTGCACTGTCAGCTACTACTCTTATAGCTGTGATTTTCTGTGTCTCGCTAACTAAAGAGAATGCTTCTTCCATGCAGCCAGCGAGATTAACAGATGTCCGAGTTGAACCCCAAAGCATCCAGCCATCTTTCCTGCTTTGACCCCGTAACCTCTCCCCTGGTTGGCAGTGTGCCTGTGTTGACAGTTCTCCTGGTTCAGCCAAAGGTGAAAGATAATTGCTTGTGGAGTAGTGGCTGGGATGGTATGTGTTTTTGTAGCAAGCATTCCCACCCCCGTCCCCAGGCAAAGCCTTGGATCTGGTACATATTTCAAAGCATGTGTTAAACTTTATGTGATACTGATTAAAATGGAGGGCTCCAGGGTGAATTGGCAGAGCCCCACAACTGCATCTGCCAAATGACATACCGAGAAAATGTCTTGCTACAAATGGAAGGGCTGAAACCTGTCTATCTTAGCAATATGCAAGCCTGCAAAAGGAAAGGTGACTCCGGCCATGTGTATATACACAGCCTGTGGAACATGCAGGATTCTTTAGCAACTCCTTTGTTCCTATGACATTTTAATCCAAAAGAAAGTCTTTTTATTTTCTTTTTCCTTTAAACAACAATAACAACAAAACCCATATGGAAATAATAGTTAGCTTTACCGTGTCAGTTCTCCATTTTCATTGAACATTTGTTTAAAAATCTAACTTGGACCAAAGATATGGTGGTGGAAGAATTATCCACCTTCTGAAACTAGATTTGTGAGTCACTGAGATAAGATCTGTGAAGTTCATTCTTTTATTTTTTATTTTTTTGAGACAGAGTCTTGCTGCGTCACCCAGGCTGTAGTGCTGTGGCAACATCTCAGTTCACTGCAGCTTCTGCCTCCCAGGTTCAAGTGACTCTCCTGCCTTGGTTTCCTGAGTAGCTGGGAGTACAGGCTCCCACCACCATGCCTGGCTAATTTTTGTAATTTTAGTAGAGATCGGGTTTCACCATGTTGGCCAGGCTGGTCTCAAACTTCTGACCTCAAATGATCCACCCCCAAGTGCTTCTTTTAAAGTGCTGGGATTGCAGGCATGAGCTATCATGCCCCACCAGTTCATTCTTGAAGCAAGAAAGCTCTTTTCAAAGCAGAAAATTTGTATCCAGAGCTTTTAGATTCAAGATCTCCTTAGGATATTCTTTCAGATAGAAATATGCATTTATATCATAGGCGTAGATCAACACTCCCTCAAAGGCAATATAGACAACATTAGTATCTTATGTCACACTTCCTCGCTCTGCTTTTATGACAGTTAGGATAGAGAAACCTTCAGTTTTTTAAAGGGATTTATATATATATTTTTTAGGAAAGCAGAAGGGGTAAGAAATTTATAGTAGTAAGGATGAGTGGCACAAGAGAAAAAAAAAAGCAAAAAGGAAGAAAAGTTTGTGGGAAGAGGAAGGTAAGTAGGTTAACAGGGAAGTAAACCAGGTTTCTAATTCATGGGTGAATCAGAGAACAGGTATCAAATTAAGGATTACAAAATGTAGAATGGGTACTAAATAGCAGTACGAAGCAGCCACAATAATATTGATTTATGGATTTAAGTAACCCCACCAAACTTTGATGTATCTCATCATGTTGACTCTCTGCTCTAGAGAATAAAGTATTGTTTGATCCCATGGATTGCCTTTTATTTTTCAGAATAGCTCAAAAGATGGCTTTGGGGATTCACTGTAAGATTTTGTTGTCATCTAGATTATACTTGAGGTGGAGAGGCATAATTTAAACAACTTCACAGGCGAAGAAAATAACTACACACAGCAGATCCTGGATTAGGAAAATAAATACATTTTATTATTCAGAATGTGCTTTTATGAACTCTCTTTAAAAAATTGCAAGCCTTATACATATGGAGATATTCTAGTTTTCCAGGTGAGACCGTCTGAGTCTGTTTTGCTTTTAAGTGTTTTCTGTGATATGTTAGGTTTCTTTGTTAACTCAGATTGCTTCTTCTTTTCCTTCTTTTGAAGTGGGGGCAGGGACTATATAGGGAACTGAAAGAGAAAATGCTGGAGCTTTTGGCTACCATTTTTGAGCTTTTATTTAATTTCATACAATTTCTTCATTTTCCTCTGGTATTAAAACTCAGTGTTTCAGTCACAAAGATACTTATTTCTAAACTGTAATTTTGACTTAATCTTTTTTAAGGATAGTTTAAGGGAGTTGATAATCTGTTTTTCTCTCTCCTAGAGTTTTAGTTGGGTCAAATAGGATTTGCCCCGAGGATATTAGTATTGACTTCATGTAAAAGAAGTTTGAAACCCAAGATTCCAGTTAGTTTCCTTTCTTGGGCTTTTGTAGAATATTTTACACAGGGAGAAATATGCAGCTGGATTGCAGTCAGCCACTAAATCCTAGTGAGTGCCTCTTTTTTCCAAGGATCATCGTATAGTTTTGAGTGGGCTGGTTACTAAAAGGAAGCTCATCTCATGTGAAGTGATCTTAATTGATAAGGAATATGCTGAAAAAGGAAGAGGAAAATTCTGTACACTTCTAGTATAGTGAAAGTTGTAAAAGAGAAGCAGGAATAATAGAAAAGGAGTAAGGAACTTAGTAATCATATAGTATGCTTAATTAACACTTTCACCTTGTTAACGTATTCTATGTATGAATGATTATCTTTCTTCATTTATTCTTTCAATCAACACATAGTTATTGAGTATATGTTAAAAACAAGTTACTATACAGTATGTCAGATGGTGATATTTGCTATGCAGAAAATAAAGAGGGGAATGGGGGCTGGGTGCAGTGGCTCACACCTGTAATCCCAGCACTTTGGAAGGCTGCGGTGGATGGATCACTTGAGGTCAGGATTTCGAGATCAGCCTGGCCAACATGGCGAAAGCCTGTCTCTACTAAAAATGCAAAAAAATTTATCTGGGTGTGGTGATGGGTGCCTGTAATCCCAGCTACTCAGGAGGCTGAGGCAGGAGAATCGCTTGAAACCAGGAGGTAGAGGTTGCAGTGAGTTGAGATGGCGGTACTGCGCTCCAGCCTGGGCAACAAGGGCGAAAATCCATATAAAATAAAACATAAAAAAAGGCTGTAGAACATTGTATTGATCCCAGAGAAGCCTTGC